AAATTTCAACAAGGTAATATTTTCATGTATTTTTATACAGTTTGTGGCAGAAATACCTCCTCCATATATTTCCTAGAAATACCTTTTTATTGTCTTACCATTATGTGGAGGTATTTCTGCCACACACTGCATAACTGTGTAACAAAAGAAAAAAATACACCAATATGCATGTAAAAGATAGAAGACATTAAAATTTAGAAATTAGGAATTGTGTGTGTGTGTGTGTCTGTGTGTGTGTAAAACATTTCAGTCACTAAGGGAAAATATGTCCCAATACCTGGGAAAAGGTCCCAGTTGATGCAGTCAATACAGCATACTGGAAGGAAAAAAAAAAAAAAGAAAAAACAGGAGTGTCCTGTTTTTATATCTGTTTAACAGTGTAATGTCTAGGCAAACTCCCCAAGTGGAGGTAACCCACATGCAAGATGGTGTCTAGGCAAACCCCCCAAGTGGAGGTAACCCACATGCAAGATAGTTTTCAACCAGTGATGTTTAACATCAAAAAGAGGCAATTGAAAGTTCTAGGGTACATAAGAAGAAAAGAGAGCTTCGCAAGAGAGATAGATGAAAATTGCACATAACCTCCTTACTGATTTTTTGTGAATGGTTGGCTGTACCAGGATTAGGAGAGATAGAAAAATGGCAAAATTTATATAAAAGCTAGAAAGACAAGAAAATATGGAGAGCCATGATTGTACATGTCCTGAAGGGATATAGCATATAGAAGAAGTAGAAAACCTAGTGAACAAGTAACTTGGACTGTAGATGAACATTTGACTGATGTATACCAGATTCTAATTTGTCCACCTGATATTATATGCTTCTCTGTCTATTATTAATCAGGTTTTACATGTTACAAAGAGAAAAAAGAATCACAGTTCACATTCTCTATATATTAAAATAGCTATGAACATGCTGTGCCTTTTGCTTGCAACAGTACATTAAGGTTTGTTTGTTGTTCATTTTAATGTTTGATTACCAACTCTTCATTAATTTTTTTTATTGAGAATAGCATTGTGTGTAACTGTTTTTAGATTATATAAAATGTCATTCACCAGTTTTACTCTTTTTCACTGTCCCATGCTGCCTTGTGATGCCACAATAAATATTTTTAAAAATTGACTAAAATAAACAGATTTTTAAAGTTAAAATACTCAAAATGCTTCTAATTTAAATGAAATATAAATTTTGGTGTTTAAATATTTCACCCATCTCACATTTTTTTTTTAACTAACTCAAAGTTTTTGGTATAAATTTCATAATAAATCTTGGGTATTAATCTTAAAATACCTACCTTACCTCACATTTTTAAAGATAATCAAGAGATTTAGTGTTTAAAAATCTACCTCTCTGACAGTTTCCTACTGGCCATCTGGTGGGGTAAATTTTTTATGATAAATTACCTGAATTAAAAATAGCATGATGCTTCATATGTAGATGGCTATTTGCAATGTGGGAAGTACACATAGAGAAGTGCAATCCTTATAATAACTGGCTGATGAATATTCATGAATTTGACATGTATTTAAGGATTTGCTTAAAAAGGCAGACAGTTTGCTGCCACTGTTGAGAGTAGCTGGACCCTGTGTTCTACAATTGGCAATGTTGGATTGAGTTATGTTTCTTTTCTTGATGGCAAATCTGTTTTGAAGTATCTCTGTGTTTGTGTTATAGAATCGACTTGCTCACAGGAACATACACCAAGATACATGGATTAGCTTAATTTCAAAATGTGAGTTGGGGTAAATTTTCCAGGAATAAAATTTGTAATTTTGTATAAAATTGTGAAACAAGGTAATTTGTTTTGTAACAAAATTCTTAATTTAGTTAAAAAAATATGAGGTAGGTTAAAGTTTGTAACACTAAACCTATTGATTTAGTTTAAGATAGTCACATTTAGAGTAGTTAAACATTCAGAATTGTTCAGCTAGATCAATTTTTTTATATCTATTGAGACAGTGTGAGGTTGCCCAAAAGAGCAATAACCTTTATTCTATGACTTTTGGGCAAATGTCATTTCAAATTTGAAGAGGCTTTCTGTCCCACCTGTCTACAAGATAATCATTCAAAGCCTACCACTTCATATGTGTCTGCGGTGATACCTAGGATTCTTAATTCTCTTTTTGGGACATCTTTATAGATCAATTGTTGAAAATGGCTTTAAGTGAATCTTGGCAAATACCTTACTTCTTTGAACCTTGTGGACCACTGCTACAGAATCACAAAGAAAAATCTGTACCAAATAATAGAAACTACATTACTTGAGGACTACCAACAGCAGCAACAGCTAAAATGGATATCACATGTAACTAGAAGAGAAACTTTTGTGATGCCAATGAATACTCATTGTCACTTTCGTAATACTTGTTGCAGTAGAGACTTCGTAATCGCAGATACAACTATAGTATGCAGTTGAACAATATTGGTGTCAGACGCCTTTGAATAGCACTTGCACTAATAGTACTTGCCCAATAATACTAGCTCGAATAATAATCTGTATAGTGATCCAAAAGAGAAATAGTATAGTGAATAGAGTAGAGAACAGCAGTCCATATAGTAGAAAGGATAGACTAGAAATAGGGATCTGAATAGTAATAGAGGATAGGCTAGAAATGATGATCATTCAGACATCATGCAACTTCCTATATATGTGTTTCCTCTATGGTCACATGGTGTACTTAATTCAATAATGGAATCACCTGTGTTTGCTCACTGGTGATCTATGTTCAAATTCAAGTGTCATCAGTGATACTTTATTCCTATATAACAGAAAATGATATAATCAAGATGATTACATTACTTCATCAATACTGGAAAGAGCAATAACAGCTACTGAACTTGAGAAACTTATTTTCCTGAAAAATTGTTTTAAGACAAAGATTTTATGAATTTCTATTAAAAGTAGTACTAGCTGCTAGGTCAATGAATGTCAAAAATTTCCTTATAAGGAAATGGCTAATATTAATATTACAATTAGTAGCCCAGTTGGCGTTCTGCCTCGAGGGGGGATTCACTACTATTTGACCATCGTCTATTATTTCATTAGGGATTAGTAATTTTATTAAATGTAGAAGATTATCTTTTTTAAAAAGATATTGTTCAGTTATTAGATATGTGTCACTGAAAAAAGAAAACAAAGACATTTTAACAAAAAATATATTTACTATACCTTTGTGTAAAATTTTCCACTTTTGCTGGTTTTTAATTATTTCAATAAAATAACCTGGAAAACAAATAACAGAAATAAGATTTCTGATATAGAATTAAAAGGAAACTTCATTTGAAAACTGTACACAAAAATATAAATACAAAAATATGTGCAATAATTATACTTTATCACCTATTCTACTAATATAATTTTGTATAATCTAATATTCTGTCATTTAATTCTATAATGTAATATAATATTCTATAATTTAATATTGTATAAGCTAATATTTTATCATCTAATAAGATCCTATCCTCTAGTAATATTTTATCAAATAATTCTTACATCTAATATAATATTGTATCATCTAATTCTATCATGTAATATAATATCCTATCATTTAATAATATTTTGCTACAATATTCTGAATACAAATTCTTTAAAAATAATATTAAGTATTATTATTTTTGAACCAATCATAATTTCACTTAAAAATAATATAATTAATAATATCCTATCATCTAATTCTATCAGCTGTTATAATATTCTGTCTAAGAGTATTCTACTTGTACTTAAAATAATACAAATTAATTAACAATGATGTTAATTTTCATTCATTTTGAATCCATCTTTCTTTCATTTTAATTTTATTTGCTTTTTATTACAACACAGACTATGAGTCTACAAATAATAATAAACAGCATGAACTGAAAATGAAAAATAAACTTTCAACAAGATTTGAAGTCATATCCTTTTTTTCCTTTAGAAGCCTGTTTTACTGTAACAGCTGCTCTATCATTTGAGCTACAAAAACAATGGTTGCAGCAACACATAACTTTATTCTTCATTTTTGACAAGCATACAACAATCCCATTATTCTTTGAAAACATGTGCTAGAAGCATTAGCAGTACTATCATTGTCAATTGTTATAAATTTTTTCAAATAGTATTTCTTTCAGCTTAATTTCAAGTGCTTTTTATTACAACCACCATTCTTTGGCTGCTAGAAATCAACTAATTGGTAAGGCAGCTATCATGAGAAGATAGGTTTCCAGAAGAAAAGGGATGGAAGTTGGAGACCTATTAGAGGTTTATTTTTTTGTTTCCATTTTTAAGGGTTGCTTAATGGCCTTAAAATAATGGTCTGAGAAGTGTGATAAAAAGAAAACTGAAATTAAGATGAATGAAATAATGCTATATCTGACAGTGACAGGACCCAAAGAGTGTGAGTTCAATACCCGGTTAAGGCAGTGGAGAACTTTCAGAGGGAAAATTAACAGGAGATAACTGATAACTGACATCCATTAAAAACATGGCATGTGGAACTAGAACAGTCTATCCCAATGAGCGAAATAAAGGGTTCAGTTCGACATTCCAACCACCTGAAGAAGGCTGGAGTGTACAACAGCCAAAATGTTGTAATAAATATGGCAACAAAGATGAGAACAATGGTCTGAATAATGTAAATAATGAAATAATGCTAGCTGAAAAATTATCAAATGACAAAACATCTGAGAAATTGAAAAACAAAAGATGATACTGAGTATAATATTGAGAAGAGTCATTACCATTCAATAAGTTTATTGGAGCAATGAACTCATTCTTTTTCTTATTTCCACAACATTTCAGCCAATCCATTCTACAGTATTCTACAGGTTTACAATGGGTATGGAAAGAGAAGGTCTCTTTTCAGCCTTTTTCAGATTTACTATGCATACTGAAAGAAGGTCTCTTTTCAGCCTTCTTCATGTTTACTATGTGTATGGAAAGAGAAGGCCTATTTTCAGTCTTCTTCAGATTTACTATGCGTATGGAAAGAGAAGGCCTATTTTCAGCCTTCTTCAGATTTACTATGCATATAGAAAGAGGTCTCTTCAGCTTTCTTCAGGTTTACTATCCATATGGAAAGAGAAGGTTTCTTTTCAGCCATCTTCAAATTTACTATCTGTATGAAGAGAGAAGGTCTCTTTTCAGCCTTTTTCAAATATACTATCTGTATGGAGAGAGCTCTCCTTTCAGCCTTCTGCAGGTTTACTATCTGTATGGAGAGAGAAGGTCTCTTTTCAACCTTCTTCAGGTATACTATTTGTATGGGAAGAGAAAATCACTTTTCAGCCTTCTTCAATTTCATTATCTGTATGGAAAGTGAAGGACTCTTTTTCCAGTAGCATAAAGCAATAAAGATGGTAGCAAATAGAAAATATAAAAAGTAACACATACTCATAATATAATAAAAATTGTTAATATTTAAAATTTATATTTATTGTTTTGTAAGAGAGACCATCGCTTTCCATGAGAGTAGGACATTTGAAGGAAGCCATCAAATAGATTGGTCGAAATATTGTCAAACAACGAAAATAGCAATAAGAATGAGTTTAATTTGAATGAATTCTTGAGTTGCATTTACTAAAAATATTCTGATGAAGAAGAAAAGGATTAAACAAATATCTCTATTTTTTTTGGTTTTGATAAAGTGATAGGATTCCCACAGAGTAGAAAATAAATTTTTCTTTTTTTAATCATGTCAAAGTTCCAAAATTTGCACAATAATATTTGATATAGAAAAACAAATTACTTTCCAGAAAATGCTAGACAGAATTAAACAGTCATGTCTTGAAAGGTGACTAAGACAACATTTTGCCAATTTCTAAATTCTTCTTAGAGTATGACCTCAAGTATATTTTTTACTTTTATTTTTTAGTTTTGTCAATTAATAAAAAAAAGTTAAAATGTTTCTGATCCATCAAAGAAACAATATTTAAAGTCAAACTAATCCATTTCTTTGTTGTTATTATCGCAATGTTTCAGCTGTTGTAGCCACTTATTTCAGATATCTGTCACATGTTCTATCTTATTAAGATATCTGTCAGTCCGAGTAACCGACAAAGAATTTTGAACTGGGAATTCTGTGGCATGGTAGTTATGTGTTCTGTAACAATAGCATCAAACATGAAGAAGTAATTAATAAATTAAACTGTAAAAAATGCCCTAAGAAATACATGTGTGAAACTTCTAGGAATTTGAATAAAATATTATATAAATACATATGGGATATTTTACAAAACAATAAACTCAATGCTTTAGTCATTCATCAGAATATAAATAATACAAATAATGATAATGAAATTTAGTCAGAAGGCAATCGGGTGTTAATAACAACAAAGATGAGGATGTTAGTTCAAATGTAAATAATAACTACTCATTCTAAAAATTGAATCAGAAGGTAATAATAACAAAGTTGAGGGGATTAATTCAAATGTAAATAATAACTCCTCATTTTAAAAATTGAGTCAGAAGGTAATAATAACAAAGATGAGGACATTAGTTCAAATATAAATAATAACTCTTCATCCCCAAAATTCATCTCATCAAATTACATTTTTCTGACTAGATATAACCATAAGTTTTATTCTAACAGTTTCTTCTGTTTTACTTCTTTCTTGTGGAACTCCCTTCCAGCTCTATACTTTCCAGCCAATCTGCAAAAATTTTAATGCAATGTTAATTGCTTTCTTCTGTCCTCATGATTATTATTTTCTCTTCCCACTCAGTAGTAATGTTTCTGTTCCTAATTCTTCCACACCCACTAACCCCTTGTGTCTTAGTGGCTTTTCTGCCTTGATTGGGATGAAACAGATTAAAAAAAAAATGTCCAAACACTGAGAAACTGAATATTTAAACAAAGGACATTATATACTGTTCCTCACAAAGAAAAAGAAAATATTTTTTTTGTGAATGTCTTTGAAAAAAAAATCAATGCTTAGCCTTTTTATGTTCCTGTTTCTATCGCCATGTCTCTGTCACTTTAATTTGAACTTATTTGTTTGTCAGGATGCGTAAAGAAAATATTTGTTTCTGTTTTGTGTAATATAATCTCTGAAGTTATCAATGGGAAGCACGATCATCAAACAAAGGAATCTTTATTTTATTTTCATTTTCTTGAATAAGGAATATTCAATTCCAACTTAGATAGAATGTTCATTGACATGAATAACCATTTTTATCATGGTTCCTCTGTTTGCAGATTAAATTTTGGATTTCTTTCATTGCCTTGACCTCTTTTCAAACAGCAACAACTTGGATTACCAATCTCAGAATGATTTGTTTTAAGAAATGTTTCGAAATTGATAATACAAGAGAAAACAAACTGAACACCAGTTTACTAATTTGATGACACCACACAGTGAGTGCCAATTAAAATAATCCAATTTTAGAACCGTCTCAATATGATGCTTGTTTTCTAAGAGAACCAGCATGACATGAATGTTTTGATATTACAAGAATCTCACTTTGATATCAAAATCCAAAACAAGCATAAGATCAGTAACGAAGGACAATGAAGACAGTAAAATGAAACCAAGTAGGCATAAAATCAGGTAAACAGGAATGGTAAATTTAACCATTTCTATGCAGCAAACATTGACTGAACAGTTAAAGTGATTTAATGATTTGTTTTTTTACAGTTTACCAACCTTTGGAGGTTATTTAAAGCCAGAAAATATTTTTAGATTGTGAGAATCTTTTGGAGATAATAATGATTTACTGATAAAGTTCTACTAATTGACGCATAGCGGGAGGGGAAAAGATGGATTTATACCTTTCCCAGATGTATTTTTGTGTAAGTAAATATAACAAACTTGGCTGGAATTGGAAATTGGAGAGCCGATTTCTAACTCTGAGCCATTATACATTACATCGCCCGCACATCCAAGCTTAACAGCACCTGGTATTCCCAAGCAGTTACCCATCTAGGTAATGACTAGGCTTGACATTGTTTAACATCAGTGAACATATGAGATATGGCTGTAAGTCGACTGAGCAGTTAGAGTTACTGTCAGTTTAAATTTATAAAATCTTTCTCATAAACAGTTTTTAAGGAAAACGGGCTTCTCAAGTTCACTGTTATTGCACTTTCCAGAACTGATGGAGACTTCCTTCCTAACCTTTTGTTTCAGCTAATGTGGAAAGTCAAAATTTTGATTACATCATTGTTTTCTCTTCTAGTCACATATACTATCCATTGTACATTTTTAATTGCTGCTGTTGGAATTTTTCAGTTTTTCGTTATTTAGTAAAATTCTTTGTGGATCTGTAGTACCAGTCTATAAGATATAATGGAGACGTGTGCAGTGGAATGAGAACAATCTACCCCTGTAGATTAAATAAATGGTTCAGTTCAGAATTCCCTATAGGTTACTCAAATTGATATAGAGCTGAGGAAGACCAGAGGGTACAATAGCCAAAACATTTTGATAACAACAACAAAGATGAGGACAATAGTCTGAATATGAATCGTGTAAATAATGATAACTCCTTGTCCCAGAAATTCAGACAGAAAACTATTACAGTAAGCTCACGAAATAATCTAAATTGTTATTACTTTATTAAATAGGTAAATAGCTTGAAAGTAAGAGGCTAGACGAGAAGTTTCTGGTATAAGATGATTTAATGACTGGGCTGTGTTAATGCATATGCATCCATACATGCAAACAAAAAACATTAAATATATTGCATACATTTAAAATTAGATTTCTCTTTAAGTTCAGTTGCATTGGTGTTAACAAACAAATTGGAATCTTGTCTAAGAACCTATAACAGGAATTATAGTAAATATATAACAAAAGCTTCAATCAATAAATCTCTTTGTAAAACTCAAACCAAACACTGTGTATTTTTATGGCATAAATATTAAAAAAATCTCTACAATTATAGTGATATACATAATTATGCTGCAAAATATAACAACATGAAGATCTCAAATGCGATCTAATCACAAATACAAAACTCAAAAAGTTTCTTTTATTTTAACGGTTTCTTTTCTTGCAATTCTTGCCTGTGGAACTCTCTTCTGATTCCTAGATTTAAATGTGATATCAATTGCCATCTTCCTGAACCCTGTTCATTTATTGTCCTTACATTATTTCTCCTCATTAAAATCTTCTCATTCTCTTTCACAGCTTTTATCCTAATGGCATTAATGTCTTACTTAGGATGAAATGGTTAAAAAAAAAATCTATATTCATAATGTTCAATAATGTCTGAACTGATGAAAAAAGTGGACATTATCATGATCTGTGCAACTCACATGGCTTTGCTATTGTTCATTTTTTTCAGATTGACACATCCCCAACTGTGATCCAGGTTGCTTGGGAGGTGGGTGTTTTTATCAACTCAGCATCTCTAGACTGGTTGCTAAACAAGGCTAGAGAGACTAGTCTCTGCACTGCTAGATAACTTAGATACTAGATAACATGATAGATATACTAGAGAACTAATACTCATATTTAGGGTGAAAAGAAATGGATTCATACCTTTCCTAAGAGTATTCTGTGCAAAAATGAACATAACGAACTCAGGTGGAATTTTAACTTGGCTTGCCATTTTTCCTTTGTGAGCTACTAACCATTATACTACCTGCACTATATATATATATATATATATATATATATATATATATAATTATTATTTATAAAAAAATTATAACATAAGTATGTTATAAAATCACTACAAAAATAGCCATTTTGTTTCAACACACTCGGTGTCTTATCAAGCTGGTTGGATAGATGTGAGTTTGTGACCCTGGGTTTCATGCTTTAGCCATCGTCAGACAAACTGATTAATTTTTTTAAAAAAATTGGGTTTATGTAGATTGTGTGTATTGGTGTTATTGTGAAAGTGGTGGGGAAACTTCATCGCTTATGTCATCATTAACATAAACATCGATGTATGCAGACACATATACATACTTGGTCGTCCGTCGGGACTCATACATATATAAACATATGTGGGCAGTTTCAGATATGACATATGTATGTATACGGGTGGTGTTTTGTCTATACATACGCATTTGTATGTTGAAATTTAAAGATTGGAAGTGTGGCGTGAATGTCTCGTGAATGTATACATGTCATATTATTTATTTTTCCGCTGAATAAAATTTCCTCGCATGTATGTATATACATGTGGTGGGGTTTGTGTAAAATTCTGATAGGTAAAAATTATTATTATTTATATTCATTTTTAAATTTTTGAAATAAAATGGGGGTTTATTTGTTATATTTAAAGCTGGTTATTTGT